GTAAAAACAAAGCTCTTTCTTCTCTTAGGACGAACTTGCGGGCTGTGCAAGTCGTTGATGTTCTTTATATATATATTGAAATCTCCATTTCTTCTCCAACCATAGTAAAAAAAAAAATAACAGGAACTTTTTTTTTTCATAGAAGCTGTTTCCTTTCCAGGTGATTTTTCCTTCTGCTGTGCTGTGATTTACTCTACCAGGTTCAACAAAACTAGTGAATAATTTGAAATGCTTCATTTTTTTTTTTTTAATAGATTCCTAAAAATAACCTCCAAAACCAGAGAGCTACAAATTCCCCCGTATCTGAAAAGAGAAGTTTATGCCAAAAAGATTGAAATCGAGTATGCAGTCACACTTCAGACACATCGCCAATACAGGAAGGAAGCATTCAAAAAGAAAGAAATTAATGTGAGTGAAGAGGATGAAGATAACTCAAAGAGGAGAAAGAGACATGCAATGAAAACACGTAACTTTTGCATAATTAAAAATTACTAAATTTTGAACGCAAACTAAGTTACTTGAAGAAATTGAGTATCTTTGCATAATTGAAATTGAAACTGAAGTAAGACATTGCTCGAATTATGGAACAAAATAACGTTCTTCTAATACGATGTCGTTACTTTCATAGATATTGTAGCTTATGTGCCAATCTCAGACTGAAATGCCATTTACTGAGATCTCTAATTCCTCAAAATCTATATTCAATTGCAAATACAATTAGTAACTTCAAATTTACTCTCTAATAATTTATAGAGCCAACCACTCGATTTTACATTGCAAGTAATCTTGGGAATTCCTCTTTCGACGCTCTCAAGTTAAGGCACTTGTCTTTCGACTTACCTTCAATTTTAACATTCTTATGTGGTTGATGAGTTTTTGTGAGGAGATTTTTCCTCTTATTTTCCTCCTTGCCTTTGACTAGGAAAAGAGGGTTGTGATTTCATTGATTAGCAAAATGTAGTGCTCTAGTAGTGCATAGTTTGACGGGGACATGGCATACGATTATAGCTTGTGAAAAGTATACATAGGGAGATTAGAGTAGAGCGTGGGGAATGGAGGGGTAGCAAAATTTAGACTTGCTCCCAACCCTGGTGTCTCACCTTCCCCACTGCCCCTCATCCTCTCCTCTCCCGAGTCACTTTTCTTACTTACTCTGCCCTCCCACTTTTTTACTTTTCGGAAGTAGGCGGAGGATGAGCAGAACACGAGATGGGGATATGGAGATAGGAGAGAGGGAGAAGAGTAGGATGCTCAGAACATTGGAGCTGGGGGGGTCAGGGGTGATGGTGAAGATGGACACGAGCACGATGGAATTTTTACCAAAAAAAAAAATTGCTAGCCAGTGTTAATTGATGAAACCCTCTTACCATATTAATGGAGGACTTGTATGATTACATGCCAAATAGAAACTACATTAAATGAAGACACATGCCATGTTCAACAGTAGGCTACAACTGATAAATAACATCAACTCAAATTGATTGCATGGATACAAAAGTAACTTTTGAAACAACTAACAAAAGTAGAATATTATAACATTTCTTGATTGCACTGTATTTTATTTTACAATTTGAAAAACACTGAAAAGCAACTAGTTCTAATCACTCCTTGTTAATCCTTTACCACTAAAATCTCTACCAAGGAAGAGCAAGTTCCATAGACAGCAAAAACTAAACCAAAAACTATGAGTGCCACATCCACAGCCATTACATGCCAACGCATAGCTTCTTCCTTGAACACCAACAGATGAAACAAAGCAGGCAACACAAATCCCAAAACAACACACACACTGCTCCCAACAAGAGACAAGAAATCAGCAAAGTTTGGAACCAGTAATGCCACTAAACTCACCACAAAAACCATAACCCATCTCAGCCACAAGCAGTACCTGCCTTCCCAGAATCTTCTTTCAATTACTTCATACACTGGATTCATCATCAGTGGAAATGTAAAGAAAAGGTTTATACAGAGACCTAATTGAACCAGGCTGCTCACTAGGCCTTGCCCAAGATTTGTAGTGATTATGTCTTTGGTTTCCTCACCAAATGCAAAGTAACCCAACGCTCCAAATACTCCAAACATTAAAGAAATAACAGCCATGGAAAGGCCCAACACTTTTCCAAATGAGTTCTTGTCTTTGGTCTCTGCTTCCAATGGCAAAACCATTCCAATTCCTTCAAATGCGTACACAGCTACACCTAAGCCATAGAAGAACGTATTGAACCCACCAAATGCTTCCAATACAGGCCTGTTCTTAAGATATATCAGTACATCTTCAACCATTACAACCCCCATGGCTCCAATATCAACAACATCAGCAAAAATACTCAAAGGGGCCAGATGGGTCAGTGTTGGGATTGAATTCAATCCCAGTTGGAATGGAAAACAGCCCCAGATGTAAAAAACCTTGGGGGAAAAGCCCAAGATTCTAGGGTTCGGATTTGCAGAAGAAGAATGATTCAAAATAAAAGCCAAAGTGTTAGCTACGAAAATGGTATAACTAACGCAAAAACCAGCTTGGGACAGTAAAATCATGGCATCAACAGCAAATCGGCCGACGGGGCCGCATACTGCAAATCCCAGATCACCAAAAGAAGAGATCTTTGCAAATTTGAGATGGGTTTCAAGCCGGCGGCGAGTGTAGACAAGAAGCATCATACAATGGTAAGTGAGAAACCCCACGGAGAAGATCATTAGAATTCCCATGAGCCAACCTGTTTTCTTGAATGTATAGGGGAGGCCAAGGACCCCAGCTCCAACTATGGCTATGAAGACATTAGCAAAGGTCTTAGGGCGTGAAGATAAATGGTTTTCATTCTTGGACATCAGTGGAGTGTCTTCTCTGGGAACACTGAGGACATTGGAGGATGTACTTGCTTCATCTTTCTCGAAACCCATCTGTAAAAATCAACAATTTTGGATGAATTGAAATCGAGATGATGAGATTTATATCTGGTTAGATTTGCAATTTGTTGAAGATCGAAATTAATTTGAATGATTTTTTCTTATTTCTGTATTCGAATGAATTCGAGGAATTTGGAGAGGAAGATTATTGATATGGGGCTGCCATGGTTTGAACTTTGAAGGATTATCAACAATGGCAAGTTGTAGGAAATTTTCATGAAAGCCGTATATAAAGGACTTCCGGGGTTATTTTTCTTTTAATAATTTTAGATTTAGATAATATATCATTTTTAAGGAATAATTGCAGCAACGGTACCAAATATTTCATTAAGTAACAGACATTACTCAAATATTTCATTTGTACCACCCACGGTGCCAAACCTTTTAAAATGTCGCAATTGAAGTCCAAATGGATGGTTTATATTAGTTTGACTGTTAGTTGACCAAATAATTGATTTTGACTGATTTTAAAAGGTTTAAATGATAATTTTACATTTTTTTAATAATAAAATAATCAAAATCAAATAATTAAAATTAAAAATTCATTTCCACACACCCCCACCCCAAATCTGCAAATCTGGGAAATCAAAACCCAAAATTTCTCACTTTTTCTGATCTGGTTTTCTCTTTCTTTTTTGAGTGATGTTTCTCTCAGAAGGGAGATTTTAGAATCAAAGGATTTAATGTCGACAAGGTTTGATTTGGGTGTTGTGTTTGGGGATCCTTTGAAGCTTTGTTCTTAGTCTTACGAGGCCCATGCGAATTAGACCAGAGGAACCAATTGCAAAGGAAGCAGTGAAGCCAACGCCTGATAATAGAATGAGCAGAGAAGACTCTGATTTTCGACAATCGAGTAATTCGCCAGCTCGAAGTGAAAATATGGTCGAGAAATCTTAGTAAGCTCCGCTGCCTACCTTCTAGTTATGGTCTTGATACCCTTATCAAGTACCACGTGATCACGGTAGAAAGCCACCAATCTGGTAGCCTAATTTCAGATAATGATGTGATTAATTTGGACGGTGTGGAAGTGGTTTTGTCGGGGCTGTTTTACAATTGTGATATTGCGGTTCATGGATTGAGAAAAATGTCGAACTGCTTCAAAACGAGTTTTGGATCGGGTCAAGATTCTCCATCTGTGGCTCCGTCGGAACCTCCGATTTATTCTCCAGTTTTCGATGGAATCGATGTAGCGCCACATGCGACGAATTTTATTGGTTTTCTTGAGCCGGTAAATAACACGATAGAATTTCCGGTGCCTGAAGCAGTTGTTTTTGGTGGGTATTCACCAATAAATTCGCTAGAATTTTCACTTGTGCCTAAAGATTTCTCGATTAATCACAAAAATTTTTCTCTTATTGTCAATAATACTGCGAAGCCACCCCTACCTGTGAATTTTACAGAGCCGCCAACATTTGCATGGTTAGAGAACCCCCCCCCCCCCCCCCCAACCACCAACAATCAAACCTTTGGTGCTAGAACCAACTGCTTTTGGTGCATATTCACCGACACAATTGCCTCACTTTTCGTAGGCGAATTTCTACGATACTATCAGAATTTTTTCTCTAATTGATTTCCCGGATTTGCATATTTGGGGTGGGGTGGATGGAGAGAAGAAAGTGGAAATGAGTTTTTAATTTTAATTATAAAAAATGTAAAATTATCATTTTAATTTTTTAAAATCAGTCAAAATTATTGTCAAAGTCAATTATTTCGTCAATTAATGGTCAAACTAACAGAAATAATCCATTTTGGACTTCAGCTGCTACATTTTGAAATGTTTGGTATCGTAGGTGACATAAATAAAAGATTTGGGCAAAATCTGCTACTTAATGAAAAGTTTGGTATCGTTGTTGCAATTATCCCGATTTTTAATTTGAAAATAATATTTATTGGTTTATTTATATCAATTTGAGATAATTTGTTTGATACGTCAAAGTCCAAAAAAAGGGGCTCACATTGTGCACTGGGAAACAAATATTTTATGTTAGACAAACATCAGTTTTATTCATTTTTTAATATCAATAAAATTACTCCATTGGTCCCTGATTCACAAACTTTTTGCAACTTAATTTTCAATTCTATTTAAGTCACTATTCGTCTTCCTTTGAAACATAATAAAATATTTTACATGTAAATTTTAAAAATATTTCACAAGAAGGATCTTCATGATTGAGAAATTGCACTAATCACCACCAAACTTACTACGAAAATTTGCATAGAGAGTTCTTAATCTTTCTGAAAAGTGAGTCCCCGTCCTTCATATCTTAAAAGCAAAATCTTCAACCTTTTAATTGTAACTATAGAGAATGTTTGCCTGAATTAATGGTAAATTGTCACGCGAGAAGACGAGTTTGCGCTCTTTCTTATCTCTCAAATCTGATGTGACGATTGAAGAAGGTGGTGAGTAGCGTTGCTTGCCCCATTGCAAAATCCATGCCGAGCTTTTCAAAATCTACACTGAAAAAAAATGGAAGTGGCATAGGGTTCTCCCTTTGTAGTTTATTTAGATTTAAGTGTAATAAGTGATAAAAATTTAATGAGGTAATAAGTGAACGAAATTAATCCTATTTACCCTTAAGTGCATGCCTATCTAAAGTCGATTCAGAATGCAAAATCCTGGACTGTGATTTACTGGTTGGGGGACTTATTTACACTTTTTTGCATAGATTAGTGACCCCAAGGCAAATATCACTAATTTCGTAGGGTGCAAAATCAAAGCAGCTGTTCCAGGTCAAGCTAATTGAGCCAGTGCATTGCTGCTCTAATGTGTAGAGAACAAAACCAAGAATCCTCAGTCAATAGATTATGTACCACAGGTTATGTACAAGGAACATGCACTCCGTCTTGACAATGACACATAAACCACCACATTAACAGTATTAGATATTTTGCAAGCCCCTTTTACAGTAAAAACAGATATTTGATGCAAGAATAATACTGTTACATCCCATGGGTGATAAATAGCATTATTCTCGATTCAACAATAGAAATCACGCATCCTCAAATGGGAAACATCACAGTATTCATGCTTCTCTAAATATCTCAAAAGAAACATCACAACCATATAAAACATTCTCCCCACCAAAATAATTCAAGCAATAATTTACGTACACAAGTTAAAAAGTCCAAGGATTCGTGATTTTTTATTCAATGATGACCTCGTCAATGTGCACGCTGCAGCCAAAAGGGGCATGTCACTAGTAAAGCTTATACAAAACCTGAGGACACGCAGGAATCTCATATTACAGTACAAAAATCCTAGTCTCTGATCATGGAAATATGTAGATTTTTCAATGGATTTTGCTTGATACTACTAAAAGCAATCCTTTGATAGCTTCCTCTCTGGGATTTAGTACCAGCAATGCAAGTTGGTAGTTTAAAACAAGTCGCTTCAAGATTTAGCAATATATAGCACACCAAAATCTAGATATGAAGCCTGTACAACTACAACCTGTAGTACCTGATATTTCTATGTGCCTTCACATAATCGGGCCACTGTAGCATAAGAAGATGACTTGCGCCAATACAGTACTTCACAATGCCAATATAGCTTAAGCCACACAATCTGTGCCAAAGATCTATTGCTAAAAGAATTATTCTACTAGTGAATTTTATCAACTAAAAGTCTACACCTAGCACAAATTAAGATAATTGTAACACATGTAGACATTCTTTTCTGGCCACAGAGATTAAAGAACATGATTGTTTTTATTTACAATTCAGACAGGCCCATCAAGTTCAGCCATATTGTACCAAAAGCAAGCATTAATCCAGCTCCTTCTCAACCTTGATGTGGAAATTGTCAATCTATGAACTCTCTGTTTCATCATAAAAGAACAAAAAGAGCAAAAGATATGCATGCAAGTCTCCCTTGAGGAAGTAAAATTGGCAAGTGAAAAGTACTAATTCACCATAACGAAATCCATGCGCCATTACAAGCCAACAATGGATTTAAGACAGATTTTGGGTCAATCCACCACCATGGCATCAAAGAAGCTTCACAAAGTGAAACTTACAGATACTGTAAATTCACACATTTTAAATGGGGATAGAAGGTGGGTCTGTATAGCAATAAGAACTCTCAATAAGTAATATAGATCACTCATTCACTCTGACTTCAAAATTCTTCATGAGATGGAAAATGGAATCAAGATTAAATCACACGAGTTCCCTGTCAATTCAGGAATGTGACTCAAGTAGCTTACAACGGCATACATATGCAACATTACGATAAGAGAAATGCATAACATTTTATTTATCATCTCCATTCTGATATGCAATTTCCAATAGTGGAAGTCCATCATTGAAATAACTCCATATTGCACAACATAAAATAGCATCAAAGTCTTTCACAGGCAAATTACTTGGATCACAATAGCAGAAAAAAAAAAATCAAGAATTTGGATTTAGTAAAACATTCTACACTCGATAATCAGGGAGCTCCTCTTTAATACTCTAGTTGATTTGTCTTCCTAAAAACTTCCATCTCTACCACAAGGGTGAAAAACACGTATGGGGGCACTGAATTTCTAGTTCATGTTGGGCACACAACTTCAAACCGTTTTATACATCACTGTACTTTCTAAAGCGTTTTACCTCTCTCTTTGAATAAGATTTTTTTGTATCTACTCCTTTTTAATAGGAATAATTTGCATTTGTCAATGTCATTATTATGTTCACTTCAGATTAATATTACTGCTACCCTCTGTACTTCTTATACTCATCTAGACCAAAACTTCAAAAGAAGGAAACAATCTTGATCATTTTGATGCTACTGTGCCTTCTCAAGAATTGCTGAAAGAATCTCAGGAAGGGCCATTAGACATTGCCAGGAGGGGCAAACCTTGGATACAATCTCTTCACAGAACTCAAAAAATCTTGGATACAATCTCCCCCTATCTGAAGGGCGAGATACACTAAAAATGGCACGACAACAAGTCAAACAAACCTCTAAAAATCTGCCTCAACACTGTGTGTGCCTTGATGTGATTGAAGACGGAATCATTCATGTTGGATATAACGGAGTTTTGAAGGTAATTTTCCATTTGGGACTTAGTTCATTGATAGGTGTCTCAACCTGTTCTTCACTGAAGAAATTTTTTAGACTTCTTCTTTTCTGCAGAATAACATCCGCATGGTGGGTAGGTAATTGGTTTTAGTCAATTCTCAACTATGTAAAAATAGAATGTTTCGGCTATTTCTATGATTAACAACTTCATAAAAGCCACTGAATGGGTCATTGCAATAAGAACTTGAAACAAGTAATTTGTAGATGACTCTGACCTCAAAATTCTTCATGAGATGGAAAATGGCATCAAGAAAAAAATCACATAATTTCCCTATCAATCCAGAAATGTGGTAGTAAAGTAGTTTAAAAGGCCGTGGATATACTAGATTTGATTGATATCATAACAGCGCTAAGGATGTACAACATTTTAGCCTCGGTTTTGGAACAATTTACAAAACAGTTTAATTTATATATGAATAGAAATGAGTGATGGATTACTTGTGGATCCATTGAAATGTATGATCAAAAATGAAGTTTGACCATATATAAATGATTTATAAATTTTGCCCAACAGAGACTTAATTCCCGTCTCCATTCTGATATGCAGTTTCCCAAAGTTGCTGAAGCCCATCATTAAGATATCCCCAGATTGCACAACATAAACATAGCATCAAAGTCTTAAATAGAGAAATTACTCAGATTGCAAGAGCTCAAAAATAAATGAAGAATTTGGATCTCGCAAAATATTACTGCACCTGCTATTCAGAGCGCTCTTCTTAAGTTTGCCTGGCCTTCCTAAAAACTTTAATCTCTTGGAAGCCATGAGATCAATAAGGATCTTCACCCATCCATCCCCAACATCCCCCAGGTTGCTTAGATGGATGGCCTTTATGAAACTAACAAAACTAAAAACATCGAAATTCATGTTTCAATACCTATATCAATGATATTTATCCAGAAAATTAAAAAGAAAGTAATTTGACTTGATCTATTCCAGTATCTTTTAATCACATCAAGTTCAACTAGAACCGAAAGAAAACACGATTATCTGAGACCATCATCGTGATATGTGCATCTAGCATGTTTAACCTACAATAATGGAATGAGATGAAGTCAAACACACTGCTTTCATTACGAAGATAATCTCTATGGTCCTCAATGGTTTCTTTCTGAGTGAAACTCAAAATAAATAAAAATCTAGGATTTAAATGCTAGCTCCTTCAATTCAATATTTTATATTACTGTACCTATCATTATTTTCTTTGAAGCATTTAAGCAAACATATTTCCATGTTATTTTAATGTCATTAGGAAGTTAATCAAAATTTGATGAAAAATTAAAAAGGGAAGTGACATAAATTCGAACATGCTGCTCAAGAATTTATCCTTCTAGTGCTAAACATCTAACCTAATCATCACATCTGGATCCTCCCGGACAGAGCAGTATAAAAAACACCAAAATCACACAATGGGAAACACACATTCCCTTTATAATTCATTACTCACTTGCAATTACTAAATTCAAGTCAGTGTGAAACAGTGAATGAAACTAATCGAGCTCTTTCTGGACCTTAATCCCCATGGAATTAGCAGTCCCAATAATGGACTTACAAATGGACTCCAAGGACATGTACTGACAGAAAGGATCACTCTGCTTGATCTTGGCAATCTCGTACACGTGCTTGAGGGTGATAGTGGACGCTGTCACGTGACCCGCCCGGCTGCTTCCATTTTCGACGCCCGCCGCTTTCTTCAGGTACCAAGTGACGGAAGGAGACTTGACGATGAACTCGAAAGTGTTGTCCGTGAATGCCGTTATGGTAACCGCCATCGGCGTATCGGGCTTGTATTTCTGGGTCCTCGCATTGAAGTCCTTGCAGAAGGCCATCAGATTCAGCCGGTACTGACCCAAAGCCGGACCCACCGGAGGCGCCGGCTTCGCCCCTCCTGCCGGAACGGTTAGGCGGATGGTCGCAGCCACCGGCCGCCGGGTGAGGATCTCTTTCAGAGTGGACATGGATATGCGAAATGGCGGCAGCGTATAGGTTTCGGGGCTGTTTCTAAGTTTCTTGCGAAGATAAAAATCAGAATTTTAAATAACTTTTGATGAAACTTCACTTAGCCCAGTACACGTTCTTTAAAAATACAATATTTTAAAATTCATTTTCAATCACACATTATTTAATAAAATAATATTTTTCATCACATCAATAATTTTTTCTTACTTTTTAACCAAATATTTATCATCATATCACTATTTAAAATACATTATTTCCTCAATGATATACATCAAGCACACCCTTAATGTATAGTTGAAAAACTATACTTCTCGAAAAATGTGTGATTAAAATTAAAGTGTAATAATATTTATTATTATGATGAAATAACGATAATGTAACAATAAAAATTGAATTGTCAAATTTCATTATTCCACATATTGTCACATCACCAATATTTTATCATCATACTGATATATAACATTATTCAAAATTAATTATTTACTTTGAGTTGAATTAAAATCTTGATTTTAATTTTCATCAAATAGGGGCTGAGGGCCCATTCGGCATAAAATATGTTTTTGCTTTTACTTTGTGGAAATTACAAAAAACTAGAATTTTAAAGTTTCAATTTCAAATTTCACATATAAATTTTATTTGTACAAAAATTAGATATTAATTCATATATTTCATCTATCTTCTATCTCTAAATCACAATTACCCAAATCTAAAACCCAAATCTTAACCCTCTTGGTCTTTGACTGTAGAGGTGTGGCGATGGAGTGGGATATTGCGAGTTTGTATGCTAGACTTAGGTTAACGGCGAAGGATTCTCAGGTGCTCGAGGCTGAAGAAGAGGATAATGGGCTCTCCCTGGAAAAACGAGCAAAGTGCATCGCGTTTAGGGTTCTTGCCGATCGGGAGGTAAATAAGGGGGCTTTGAAGAAGACTTTGATCCAGCTTTGGCAACTTGAAGGTAAGGGGGTTATTAAGGAGGTAGGGCGTAACACGTTTCTTCT